TTCCACATCCTTGCCAACACTTGTCATTTGTTGATGGTAGCCATTCTGATAGGTGTGAGGTGATACCTCATTGTTATTTTAATTTGCATCTCTCTGATGATCAGTGACTTTGAGCATATTTACTTATGTCTCTTGGCCATCTGTATGTCCTTTTTGGAGAAGTGTCTTAGATCCTTTGCCCATTTTTTTATTGGATTGTTTATCTTCCTTTTGTTAAGTTCTATGAGTTCCTTATATATTTTGGATACAAACCCTTTATCAGATGTATCATTGCCAAATTTGTTCTCCCATACAGTGGGCTCCCTTTTATAAGAAGTATTTTTAATGTCCCCTTTGGTGCCAAGGTAAAATTTAAAAAAGTCTCTGGCCAAGCTCCCTAGAAAACCAAAGCTGAAGCAGGGATGAAGTGCTGATGCTTTAAGAGGCCCAATTCCAGGGCACTGAGAGTGAAGAATAGGGCATCAAGGGAGGTGATCCATTCCTGCTCTGGCCACTGCTTCATGAGGCCCAAAGAGACAGCCAGTCACCCATCAGGGGTCTTCTCAGTCACAAGGGATGTCTCTCAGGATATAGAGTCTATGGAGAAACCATGTCTGAGAAGTACACAGGAGGGAGCAGGAAGAGGATTATTTTATATGCTCAGCTCCTGCCTATTATTAACTCCTGTTTGGCCCACAAACATTTCAATCCCCTACAGTCCTGTGTGGTTCAGGTCATTACCTTAGCACAGCGGTTCTCAACCTGTGGGTCGCGACCCCTTTGGCGGTCGAACAACCCTTTCACGGGTCACCTAAGACCATATATACATAATGATGTTTACATTACGATTCATAACAGTAGCAACATTACAGTTATGAAATAGCAACGAAAATAATTTTATGGTTGGGGTCACAACATGAGGAACTGTATTTAAAGGGCCAGAAGGTTGAGAACCACTGCCTTAGAGACTGTTCCGCCCCCTGGGGGAAGGTGGGGACTTGCTTCCTGTGGAATAGTCCCTTCTTGTGGTTTACAAAACACTTCTCCTTCCATGGTCTCCTTCAGTCTCAGGCCCCTGCAGCACAGCACAGTGGGGAAACAAACTGTCTGCAGTCAGGCCAGACTCTTCCCTTACAGCCAGGCCTCGTCTTGAGCAAATTGCTTCACCTCTCTGTGCCCCAGTTTCCTCTTATGGAATGTGAACAATGATCGTCCTTCCCACACGGTTGTTATCAGGATTAAATAAGATAAACTGTGTGAGGAGCTCAGCAGAGCCCCTGGTTTGCAGGGAGCCCAATGGAAACTTTTGCTACAACAGACACACCTCGGAGATCTTGCAGGTTTGGTCCCAGACCACGGTGATAAAGCGCACACCACAATAAAGTGAGACACACAAACTTTTCTCTTCTTCTGTGCATATGAACGTTATGTATCTACGATAGTCTATTAAGGGTGCAATCGCATTATCTCTAAAAAACACTGTACACACCTCCATTAAAAACACTTTACTGCTAAAAACGCTAACCATCATCTGAGTCTTCAGCAAGTCAACGTTTTTTTGCAGCTGGAGAGTCTTGCTTCGATGTTGATGGCCGCTGACAGATCAGTGGTGGTTGCTGAAGGTGGGTGGCTGTCCAGTTTCTTAAAATAAGACAACAGTGAGGTTTGCCACTTCGACCGACTCCTCCTTTCACAAAAGCTTCTCGGGAGCATGCAGAGCTGATAGCATGGTACCCACAGCAGAGCTTCTTTCAGGATTGGAGTTAGTCCTTCAAACCCTGCTGCCGATTTGCCAACCGAGCATATGTGATATTCTAAATCCTTTGTTGTCGTTTCAACAATCTTCACAGCATCGCAGAATATCTATAATATATTTATATCTGCATTTTGCACGAGTTGCATTTACACATTTCATCCACATTAGCACTTAGGCCGTTCTTTGTAACAGTCGCACAATATTCTAGTGCATCAGTGGGCCAGGATATATTATTTAGTTCTTGATGGTCACATTGACCTTTTCGGCTTCTTATTACAAACAATGCTGCAAAGATGATCCTTACACATTAGTATGTGTACACGTGTATCTCTAGGATAAAGTCTCAAAGGTACATGTATTTTTAAATTTTTATATATATTACCAAATTGCCCTTCAAATTGTTGCTAAATATAGGTGTCCCAAAAAATGTATACATACTTTAACAGTTCAGTTTTGAAAATGAAATGTATTTTAATAAATGCTGCCTTTATAGTTATTCAAAGTGTGTGTACACATGTTTTTTGGGACATCCTATATATATACACCAGCTAATGGTGGATATAATTGTTTGTTTTCCCATGACTTTCTACCAGGAATTATAGAATCTTGGCCAGTTGGTATTTTAAAGATGAAAATGAGGAATTATAAAGCCATTTTCAGATCATTTTATATTACCTAGTAGTCACCTGCTTTAAATTGTCTTTTTACATAAGACACTCATGTGAGAAAGATTGGACTTTCAGTGCTTCCTAGGGTAGAACAGGGTAACGAGTGAAAGGTAGGCAGACATAAGTTTTACTCTCAGGATGTACGAACTTTCTAAGCACTGTGGCCAGTGGAGCAACCTGCCTTGGAGATAAGGAGCTCCCTGCCCAGAGCTGGAAAATTTTTATTTCCAGTGGAATAAACAACCACAAGGTATGTTCAGGAAGAAATTTCTGAGTTTACTGGAATACTGTACAAGGTTAACAGTTAGGAAAATGTGGCACCTCGACCATAGTGTATGTGGGATGACTTTAGGTGGTACAAACTTTAAAATTTTTAACTGGTTTATATTCATTTTTATGTGTATTTGCTGTGTTGCTATATTACTAGAAAATCATATACTCTAAAATGCTAAAACTATACATAAACGTTGGGCAATAATATGCTTGATGACTTCCAAAGTCTCTTCAAAACTGAGATTCTACAGTTCTAGATGTAATCTCCATATTACTAAATTATCAAATAATAAAATGACTTCTCAACCCCAGCCTGTTACATTTATTACAAGCAATTTAAACACAAACCAAGTTCTAGCATTACAGATTTCAAGTATTAGGAGCTTAGGGGAATTCCATGAAAACTTAAGTTCAGGTGAAGACCCAACCTGAAACTATACACAACTCAAAAAACAAAATCAAAAGCCCATTGCTATTGGCATCCCCTTTATCCATCAGCACCTTCTAAAGGCCAGTGTTAGGAAGAGAATAAGCTGTGTTTACACAAGACCATATCCCTCTGTGGCTATCATGAGACCACCAGCCAGTCCACCATATTCAGAGGTGAATATTTATTTAACTCATACATAAATTTTACATGATATCCATTGTGTTATAAACATAGGCACATTTTTTTAAAACTCAAGGTACATTCCAAACTACTCTCTCACACCACCCCACTCCAATCCCCTGAAGATGGAATATCTGATAATTGTAAAACAAGGGCCAGAGAAGCCCTGCACATTAATTTTGGGAGAGTGCTTCTGACCATTATGATCATTCCTTCTGAATTCAACCAAGAAGGGTCAATAAGTTTTTAAACAAAGGAGCATGCATTTTTCAGCCTTTTAATTCCATCAACTGATAGAATTAATTGGCCTCTGCTTGGGTATTTTTTAATAGGTGTATGGTTTTGTTTCTCCTACTTAGTTCAAGTCAGAAAAAATAAATATTGGTACCTATATTCCTGCTGGCCTTTAAATGCCTCTGGGATGGTTTAAAGGTATGTCACCTAAGCACATCTCTAACAAATGGGTAGCTTCCCACTAAGTACAGTTAAACATCCCTCTTTCCTGCTGGTTTGCCCTTAAAGGGACAAACACTGCGAATTTAATAATTCATTGATTCACATAAGAAACGGACTGAGCACAGAGCAAGTCGGGCAGAGACAAATTCATCAAAATGACTCAGTTGATTGATTTGATTATACCAGGCATGATCCAGATGTATGAGTTTGTCATTCACAACACTCATAACACACATCAAGACAAGATTATGATCTACACTGTAAAGTCGTAATTTGAATTCAGAATGAGAAAAAAATGAGTGTTTGGAATTGATTCATCATAGCCACTCTGATATGATACACTAACTTGGAAGAAAATAAAATGATTCATATATACAATTCTCTTAGTAAAATTTTCTATTTCTTGCTCATAACACATTTTAATTCAGAAAATGCATTAATTTTATTCAAATATATTTTTTTCTAAAATATAAATATATTAAGTTTTTATAAATGCAGAGAATGTAGTTTCTGTTGATTCCCCACCCAGATATTAATCAGTCCAAAACTTAAGTGATGAAGAAATCATATTTGTAATTGTGATCATTTTACTTTGTCTATAAATATATAATAGGATCTTTGCAACTTAATTATGAGTAACTCATACTTCATATACTACTGAGCACCTTAGATTACATATTGTTGAATTAAACTATTGGCATTAATATATGTAATTTAACACGTTATTTACAATCACAAGTATAATTCTCTTGTATAACATTCCAGTGATTTTGAAAATATATAATGAAAGAGTGCAGTATAATTTACAAATGCATCAAAGCTTTTCTTACATAGTCAGCCTGGGACTTGACACTCTTCAGCATTTTAAAATAAGAAACCAAAAAAAAAAAAAAATACCATCTAGGTTCTAAAACTGTATTTTCCACAGTTTTTTTGTTTGTTTTTTCCTTTTAACAAGAGCTTCCCAGGATGTCCTATGTTTTGTTTTGTTTTTGTTTTTGTTGTTGTTGTTTTTGTAACACAAACTTCCCAGGATGCTCTGTTAGAAAGGAGTTCTGTAGGCAAATGTAGGGAATGGCACATGGATCCCCCTTGGAGAACTGCAATGTAAATTGAAGTCTCCGAGGAGGCCTGCAATCTGTTTAACTTTTCTTAACTCCATATTTAACAAACATTTTTTATTCCCAACCTCTTAGTGCCACCCCCACAAAACACCACTCAGTGCCCCTTGGAACTAGTGTGACACGATACATATTGGGGAAGCGCTGATCTAAAATAAAGTTTTGCAATTGAATAAACACTTATGTCTGAGTGAGCAAATCACATTCCTTTAACAGTTTCCACTTTTTAAAGCTCTTTGCATAGGATAGGTATTTGCCAAAATACAACTTTGAAAAAAACACACACACATATCTAACCCAGACTATTTGTCTATGTAAACTGTATGGGAAAAAAAGGTTACAAATGCTTATAGAAATTCTAGAGCTTATTTTCAGGGTTTGAGGAAAGTGGCTCCTTAATCAAGTATTAGGTGTCTTTTTAATTAATTTGTTTTAAAAGATAAAAGCATTTGATCAGTAATATGTTATGTGGTGTCTGAAAATATTCTTGTAGAAAAATATCAGGTCATTATATTATTTCCCTGGAATTCCGAAAGAGCTGTGGACGCTATCAATAGATTTGATTATAACATTGGGTCTATATGTGAAACCCAGCATCATCCAGAATGATATGAGGCTGCTCTATTACTGGTTCAAAAATACATGCATACAAGCACAGGCAGGAACAAGGGTCAATAAATTGCTCAGTGCTTCCACTGAAAACCACAGAATGATGATAATTAGTTAACCCCACATGACTTGTGTATATATATGTATCTATCAAATGGCAATCGTTAAAAAAAGTATCCATAATTTGCTTTCTATAAATAACGCTATCAGTCTTGGCTCTACAATGGCAGACCTTGGTGTGAGTGCAGCCCAGAATTAAGCATCTTTCAGTCTCCGCTTCCACCAGCTTACCACTCAGATCAGTGTCTGGGGCTTCAATTCCTGCTCAGCATATGCTAATGGAACACTTCAGCATCTTTCTACATCATCGAAAGATAATTCACTAAGAAAAAGTAAGAGGTGCTTCATACTTAAAAGGTGGGTTTCCATTTAAAGTACTTCTCTCTCCTTTCCATGGAAAATGAACTCAAAAGTAGGAGATAAATCACAATAAACATGGGGTCATTACCGGACAGGAGAGAGGAAAATGTCCATTTCTCATCTTGCTATTCAGCCCTTGCTTACCTGGGTGAACCAGTTGCCTAGAAACTGGTGTGATTAAGATCTGCACATGCTGTTCTACTGGAACGTCCTTGATTGTCAAAAGCTATGCCGAGTATTTCCAACCGCCCTCTCCTCTTTACCCGTTTACTGCTCTAAAAAGACAGTTTGATTCTGATGCTCCCTGTGGTGTTTTCTTAGGATTCCTCCTTGTAGTTGGTGAAATTGACAAGAGGAGTCTGGGACAGTTACGCAGGGCTCCCGGGATCTAAAGCCGACTGTGGCATGCGACATCGATGGCACACTTCCTGGTGGCATCGCAGCCCTCCTTCCCTCAAAGGCAAGTCGCGCCTCTGTTCAGGCCACCAGGCCCAGTCTTGTGATTTTAGCTGACAGGAAGGAATGAATGATGAAAACAATTGGCTTGGGGCAGGAATGAAGGTCCAGTTGCTGAAATTTGAAAAGAAGAGAGCATGATAGGTTATCAAAGTAATGCTTGGTACAGAAGAGCGATTTACACATCAACCGGGTCAGAGCACTTCCTGCTTTTCAGAATTAACTGGGGGAAATTAATGTTTTTAAATCCTTGCCCCTCAATGAAACTAAAAAGTGCCTCTTTGAACTTATTCCTTACATCTCACATATCTTTTTCTCCGAAATTGGTTCTGTGAAATTTATACATACCAATAAGCATAAATATTAATATTGCCCTTCCTGACTGTCTAGTTCCAATATCACAATATTTATATTATTTATGTTGGGTTAGGTACCACATGAAGCAGCACTAAATTTCACTTCTGAAGATTTGGTTTGAGTCTTGGCTCTTTTAAATGAAGCGTCACTTAAAATTTTTCTCAGTCCTACCCAACTCACAGGGTGATTAGAGTATTAAATGAGATACTGTATGTGAAAATTCTTTATACGCTCCAAACACAGGACCCATGCTGCTCAGCAACTGTGTCCTCACTGTCCACTGGCCTGTACTCTTGGATTGTTGTAGGCAAGCATGTCACGTGTCTGGTAAGGCCCTTCCCAAAGCCTCACCCTCGTGTTCTTGCAGAGCCAACGCCTGGTCAGGGTGGATTTTTATCACCTGATCCAATTCAGTATCCATAATTTGGATACAGGTTCTAAAAACTGTATTTTTAGACTTGTGCCCAATTCTGATCTACCGTCCCCAATTCTCTCTGATGATGGAAAATAGCAAGCTGAACGTGTCGCTAGCAGAGTTAAGATTTTACACATTATATATGAACCAGGCACTGTGCTAAGTATTTTCTATATGCTGTCATTGAATTTTCACAAAATCCCTGTGAGGTAGCTCTTGTGATCTCTGTGACTTCTATGGGAAACTAAGATTTGGGTGAAGTGATAAAGCTTTCTGAGATCACTGATCGTGCAGCACAGAGAGAGTGTGGGCTCAAAGGCAAGTCTATCTGATGTCAGAGTCAGGGCTTCACCACCATGATCTGTTTCACCAACAGAACGAAACTTCCGAAAGTCACTTTAAAGATGACCTGCTTCAGTCCCTGTGTTTTATGGATGGGGATACTCAGATCCAAAGCAATGGAAGGACTGCCCAAGACAGTGGTGATTAACTCCAGACTTAGACAATACATGTCTCTTGACCCTCACCTTACTGCCTGTCCCACAGCTCTTCTCTGCTCCCTTCCCCCACCCCAGAGGCCTGCTGCCTGCTTCCTGGGGTTGCTTAACAGGACACTTTGGGGGAGCTGTCTGTGCACTTGAGCTTATCAGCCTCATGTACTGGCAGCAAATCAGTCCTTCCTAAGTCTTCCAAGTCAGGTCGTAATTACAGGCAGGAAGGCTGACATTTAGACAGAAGTGATTTTCCTCACAAGCAAAAATAGCCTTGAATTTTCAAGTCAAGGGTAAAGCAGGAGACTGGTTCTTGTTCTTTCCGACTCTTCTAGGGAAGAGCACACGACCTGGTGATTGGCAGAACAGCAGCTGAGCTAGGAGGGTTCCTAGTAAAGTGGACTTTCAGATCATTTATTCCCCAACTGGTGCTTCGGGCTGAATTTACTGACTGAAACATACAAATAAATGACAAAATATCCTATAAAATGCTGTAGATCCATTTTCAAAGTTAGAAAGATGACTGGCTGGAAAATGTTCTCAGAAAGTGAATTTAGATCACCTGTCAGCCATAGGGTGAGGACTCATCATGACCCCCTGTGGCTGCCCTAGGAAGAAATCTGATCGTTTGTCAGGACTAGTAGTAGGGCATGTTCTAGAACAGTGGTGCTGAAATTTGGGATTAAAGATCCCTAAGCTCTTTTAAGTGTGGTCCTGGCCCTTTCCTTCAGTCAGCCCTGAATGGTTTTCAGAGAATTGCCAATGAAATAACTAGAGAGATGAGGGTAGGGAAGGATAGATTGTGGATAGGCCAGTAGCTGAATTGAAATACTTGGATCTTTTTATTCATGTCTTTTTTTTTCTTTTAAATATATTTTTATTGATTTCAGAGAGGAAGGGACAGGGAGAGAGAGATAGAAACATCAATGATGAGAGAAAAATCTTTGATCGGCTGCCTCCTGCACCCCTGCACCTCCCCACCACTACCTCCCCCCACTGCCAGGGATCGAGCCCGAAACCTGGGCATGTGACCTGATAGGGAATCGAACCGTGACCTCCTTGTTCATAGGTCGATGCTCAACCACTGAACCGCACTGGCCAGGTGAAATTCCTGCATCTTTAAAATTGAGATTTATCTCTGCATTTTATATATTCCCCATCCCTGTTACCAAGTGGAAGTCAATACATATTTGTTGACTAATCCAGTGACTAGGAAGGAACCAAATTGAGACTAGTTATTACAAAATCAAGATCCTCTTTGACCTTCTACATTCCACAGCTTAAATGAGATGCTATGTCTTCCTGAGAAATGTCAAGAACTACACTTGCTAGAAAATTGAAGGAAGGGCAGTTCTCACCCTTCAGTGGATCTGAACTAATGTACTTTCTCATTACAGCAGGTGGTAATAATCACAGAAAATCGCGGAGTGAAACACAGGGACTATTTGCATTGATATGAAAAGCATTATGCCTTCATTGGCAAATTGGCATTTTGTTGGACATTTCACATTTTCCCCAAACTTCTGGGCCTTTGGCCCTCTCTCTCCTGTGGCTTGGAATCTGCCCCTGGTTCAGCCCTTCCTACCTCAGTGCTCTCTGTGCCCTCTGCTCCTGTGGGACCTCCCAGGTGACCAGAACCTGCTATTTCACATCTCTGCATCCCTGACACGACACAACGCCAACGCTAGATCAGATGCTTGATACTTTTTTAAAATGATGTACATTTTGAAGCTATATTTGAGCATAATTTAATGCTGACTTCATAAAGGATTATTTCCTTGGGTTCAAATAGTTATGTAGTATTCTAGTGGAAAATAAGACTAACATAAATAACTGAAAAAATTAGATTTGATCAGTTTTTTAAGGATCGAATAAGACATGAACCTGGCCCTAGCCAGTTTGGTTCAGTGGATAGAGCGTCGACCTTAGGACTGAAGGATTCCGGGTTCAATTCCAATTCAAGGGCACATGCCCGGGGTGTGGGCTCGATCCCCACTAGGGGGCGTTCAGGAGGCAGCCGATCAACAATTTCCTCTCATCATTGATGTTTCTATCTCTCTCTCCCTGTCCCTTCCTCTCTGAAATCAATAAAAATATATTTAAAAGAAAAAAAAAGACATGAACCTGCAAGTACTTTTTAAATAGTCAAATGCTAAATAAATACAAGGCAGCACTATGTTTGCGAGCCATTTATATGTGTGTTGCATAATGAAATATAGGAAATCACACTTTCTAAAGAAAAGGGAACTTACAATCTCTCCATCTTTGCCTCCAAAATCTAAATACAGCATCCTGATTCCATCATCTGAAGACATTTTCAACTTTTCATATGGGGCCTGTATGATTGTCTTGGGAAAGGCACCCTCCTGTGGTTCAGTGGTAATAGAAAATCCATTGTCATAATGTATGGTCAGACGGCACTCCTGGTTTCTGTAGGTGCAAGCTGCGGGGAGAGAGAGAGAGAGATGAACCATGGAAGGCAATCCATTTTCCCAGGCACTTACATTTCAACTCTCCTCAGTCCCAGGGGCCAGCCCCAAATTTCTTTCTAAAGTTAAAAAGAAGTAATTGTCCATTAAAATATTCTCCTTGGGTTGGTTTTGAGCTTGTAATTTTACTTGCTCCATGAAACTGAAGGGAATAAATGGAAAGAAATCCCGCTTGCTGGGACTTACTGCATTTTATCTGGCCTCCAGCCCTAATCTGCCCATCAGACAACACATAGGGGTCCTTGTCTCAAGCCTGAAAAAACTGATACCTGATTTAGAGTAAGCAGCTACCTCTGAATCTTCATCATCATCATCATCATCACCACCACCACCACCACACGCACGCGCTCGTGCGCGCACACACACACACACACACACACACACACACACACACACACGGACACACACTATCGTCTTTACTACCAGGTGAGAAAAACAAGCATTGCATCACCAAAATTCACAAATGTGACACACCTAAGAAGTCAGGAGTGAGTTGTTCAAAAATAATCTAATTTTTTTTTTTTAAAGAAAGTTGAACCAAGCTCATTTTATAAGAGGAGTGCCTTTTTAAATTTCCTGATGAGCGGATCACCTTGGCCCTGGAAAAGCAGTTGTAATTGATAGATATCAGGTGTGGCCCCTGCATGAAGAGGGCTGTGTCCTTCCTCTGCCCAGTGTGGCTTCCAGGAACCTCGGGTGCTGCCCACATGGTGCCCTCTGAGCCAAAGGAACAAAACTGAAGCCTCTCAATCGATCAGGTGAGGTGCCGGCTTTCATCTGTGGTGCTGTGCTCATTGCGTTTAGGAAGGAGACTAGTGCTTTGAGCTTACGAGCTGGTGAAGGGACAGCCATCAGAATCCGAGTTCCCATTAGGAAGACTTGAGAATACTTAAAACCCTTCACCAAAGAGTTCTGGAAAGGTTAACAAGTATCGACTGGACTTACTTATTTTTTTATCACAAACCACCACATTTAACAGACTCTGGCAAGCAAATCCACTCAGGCCTCCATAAACATGTGAAAGCTCTTGAGGGAGGGGGTTACGGAAGAGCAGAATAAGGGCATTATTGAGCCCTCTTTACCATCACTAGCTTAGCTCTGCATTATAAACCAAACTGAATTTTACTTTCCACACCCTTCTGTAGCAGGACCTTAGCTGGATAGTATACAGGTGAAAAAAAGCAAAGATTAGAGAGGTGAGCTTGCCACAACTCAGGTGGATTAGATTTCAAAATTCAAGTTCTTTCCACTCTGTGCCATGTAGCTTCTCACCCTCTGGGACTCCGGATATGGAGGGTTGTGGAGAGGGATCTTGGCGTCTCAGAGTAATAACAACAGTGGGGTGGGGTGGCGGAGGCCTGCAGAGTGTGGCAGGATCAACAGAGGTCCGAATGTGCTCACAGAATGAGGTGGCTTCTCATCGAAGCTCGGTTGGAACACAAAGCCCTTCCTCCGACTTACCCCAGGCAGCGTTCAACTTGTAACTAAGGGCTGATATTTTCCAAAGGCACATTCTCTATTAGTCTTTGAGTCCTTCAATAAGCCTTGTTATCTTCTCAGAAAGGCCCTAGACCAGTGGTCGGCAAACTGCGGCTCGGCAAACCGCGGCTCGCGAGCCACATGCGGCTCTTTGGCCCCTTCAGTGTGGCTCTTCCACAAAATACCGGCTCTTCCACAAAATACCGACTTCTGCGCATGGGCCACGAAGTTTCAATCACACTCCCGCACGTGGTATTTTGTGGAAGAGCCACACTGAAGGGGCCAAAGAGCCGCATGTGGCTCGCGAGCCGCGGTTTGCCAACCACAACCCTAGACTACTGCCACCTCTCTGGTCCAAGGATAACCAAGGATAGTGGTAGACATACTTATGGCTTCTCATCTTGAATCCTCGTTTTTGACAATTTTCACTTCTACCACCTGCGGAATATGTGTGTGAATGGGTTCTAACTCTGGGTTTCTTTTTTTCCCCTTCCTCTATGTTCGAACTTTAAAATTATGCCATCAGATATTCTGAATGGACTGGTTGTGGTTATTTTTAATTCTAGTTGACTTCAAATGGCATTCATGGCCTTTATGTAATAGAATTAGTTACCTGAAGATGCTCTCAACCTACACAGGATAAATTGAACACATTAGCAAGTTAATTGAAGCCCTGATTAAAACCTAAGCCCCTTTGCCCAACTCGGCAGGCATCTTTCAATTTGTAGCTGGGTTGCACCTTTGCTCGTTGCCATCATCTCTTTTCTCCCAGCATCCAACTAGATCAGTCCACACAAGCCTATGTTAGTCTCCTTTGCCTGGTCTACCAACAGCCTCATTGTTTTCCTGTTGAAATAGAGTTCTGTTTATTGAGAGAGAAGGAGTTTACAGAATTTGTGGAATGTCAACTAAACCGGATCCCTTTGGCCATATTTATTCTTTCCTAGAACACTCCAAAGTTGTTGCAAGGAGTCTGAACTTTCTCTGATATTACACGTAAAACTTCATTCAATTTCGTTTTCAGGTGGCTTAGGACTTTTCCTACTCACGGGTTCAAAAACCCCAGTTTTTCTTGCCATGCAGAATGGGCATGTAAACTTAAATAAGATTCAGTGACCAAAAAAGGTTTTCATCAATGTTGGAGAATATTTGGGGACATTCATTTGTTTCAGGTTAATTTAAAAAAGATCAATTAGCTTGGAGATGCAGCAAAAATTCTACAAAATAACTGGTTTTTCATATTTGCACAAGTAGAGGAAATGTGGAGAAACCCTACTACACATTGATGCGTGTCCCATCTTTTCGAATACTCCTGGTGCAGGAGGAAGCTGCACCCAGTGCAGTACCACTCACAGAGGCCAGGGGCCAGCAGCGTCAGCGCCACCTGGTACTTCAGTAGATGCAAGTGCTCAGGCCCCACCCCAGACTGGTGGGATCAGATCCTCTGGGGTGGGAGTCAGCAATCTGAGGCTTTGGAGGATAGCACTTCAAAACATTGTTTTTGTTGCTGATTTCAGCACAGCTAAAGTTTGGAAACACCGTACCCATAATGTCATGTGGGAAATCCTTGAGAGCAGAGCTGTGCTGCAGGGCTTCCCACTGCGAAGGAGAGGCTCTAGATTTCCACTGTCCAACGTAGTAGGCGTTAGGCACAAGTGGCGGTTGAGCACATGAAGTGTGGCTAGTGTGACTGAGGAACTTATTTAATTTTAATTGATTTCAATTTAAATAGCCACACGTGACCAGAGCCTAGCATACTGGCCCGCATAGGTCTGGAGAAATACTTACAAGAGAAACCACTGATAATACTTAGTGAGGACTTACTACGTGCCAAGTACTAGGTGTTTTACATGGATTATTTCTCTCAATTCTTGATTACACCCTATGAGGCAGGTACTATGATTTCCTCCTTTTTATAGATGGAAAAAACTAGGAGGTTTCAGTAAGAGACTGAGAAAGAAATAGAGCTGGAGTTTGAATCCAGGCCATTCTGACTTTAAAACCCACACTTGTGATTATTTCCTTGTACTACATCCTCAAAGATAGAGAAAAATGAAAGAACTGGCAAGAGAGCACAAGAGAAGAGGGTACTGAGAATGTTATAAGAGGAACCCTCAAAGTTGGGTTTACTGGAAGACTGCTGTTGAGGATACTCCACACTGCATCACCTAATGCCCTGTTTATGAGTGGCCACAGGAGACCTAGACGAGAGTGGTCTTGGACCTCAGAACCAGAAACAATTTGTCTTAGAGCTCAGAATCAGGAACAGTAGCATTATAGGCAGTGTTAACTGTATGTCGTGCTGGCTGATGGAAAACACTGGATTAAATATGGAGTCCACCTTAGCAGATGTACAAGAATTTACAGCATGTATTTTCTATTATCTATCTATCTATCTATCTATCTATCTATCTATCTATCTATCTCATCTATCACCTACCTACATATCTGCCTACCTATCTGTATGGATTGGAGATTGGCATGAAAAATTACTTATCACAGCAGTCTGAACAGAACTGTTGTTTTGGGAACACTAACAAAACAGTGAGAAGTTCCATGTCTTTGTAGACAGTGCAGGGACTGGACTTGAAAGAGACACAATGTAGAGTTAAAGTCAATGCTGTTGTTTATTAGGTGTGTGATCTTGGGCAAGTTACTTAAGAATTTGCTTTCTGACTTGTAAAATTACAAAGACAAGGGAATCATGAGGATTATTAGATGAGATGAGGCTATGCATTGTGACCTAGGAGACACACACACATACACATACACACACACAACCCAAAACAGTATTTACACTGATGTTTCTATTCCAAATTATTTCATTTTTAAACTGTTGGTCTTGTCTCAATTAGTTGATTTTAGCACCCCAAAAGAGTTGTTTCTTACAGAATGAGAAACACTACAAGACCTTATATAAATTGTCTGGCATATAGCAAGTTCTCAATCAATAGTACAGTATAGAAGGGTTCTTCCTTCCACACACACGTTCCATTTCTAACTTGTCCTTTCTTAGCGCACTACAAGAATGTGGATTGTGCTCAATTGTGTGCTCCCTCCCTCCTGCTTGCCTCTCCATCCATACCAGGGGCAGGGGTGACTGCTGAGTGTCCCCAAGCATCAACCCTTTGCTCTACTTCCCCCACTGAGATGTCTTTGGTTCTGGCTCTTTTCTTAGAGCCCGTTGTCCAGTTTTCCGATCAGTTCTGTGAGCTACCTAATATATTTTCAATAATTATATTCTGTGATAAAGTACTCAGAATCCATTTCTGTTGTTTATAACAAGAACCCTTCTGGTTGGTGCCTTCACGTTCATGCCTCCAGTAAACCACCTGGGTTATAGGCAGGAAACTGCATCTGACTTGCCAAATCAGAACTTTTCTTGAATGAAGATGGGATAAGGCTTTTCACAAACTCTTTGGCTCCCGTTCAGGAGGGCATGTGGTATGCCTTAATTTAGAAGATTTTACGTTTACCTTTGACATTTTAAGTATCCCCAAAGGCCAGGAATGGAAGCCACTTTGAGGCCAGGGCGAAGTAGAGGGTGTGTTCTTCCTGTAAGAGTGTGACGTGGGGAGCCTGTAGCCAGCAGCGCTCACCTGTGGTGACTTCGGTAATGAGTTCAGCTGAGTTGTGGCAGCCCTGTACTATGCTCCTGGTCCAGTGGGAGAGGTCCCTGCTGATTTCAGCCCTGAAGAGGTGCGTTTCAATCCCCTGCCTGGTACCCGTTCGTGTTGCAAAGGACAGATCCACACCAGTCTGGGGAGATCCTTTCCCTGGACCTGAATGGACCAGCCTGTTGAGGGAGAGAGAGGAGAGAAAGAGAGATCACCAAAGATCATCAAAGTTGAACTGCCTTAATCACCTGACATGTCATTTGGTGACTCGCTGTCATTGTTCTGATCTGAATGAAAGGGTTCACTGCTCCCTTGTGATCGCCAGGGCTTTCTGCCATCCCTTCACCCAGTTCCCCTCCGATGGTCAAGTGAGATTAAGAAGGTGTCCGACAACTTTGCATCAAGTTGCATATGCAGAGGAGTTGATTAATATGACTTTAACTAACAGTAGATAAATTCAACTATACTCATTCATCCAAAAAGAAAGAATTGAGTAAATGAGAGAGACAACAATTTAATAGTGTGTAAAATTCCCTCCACGGTTTCATTCCTGGATGGAACAGGGAAGCCATTGTTTCCTGGCTTAGACTCAGGTCCCCTGTTTCCTGTAGTTGGGAGCATCTGGCTGCACTGAGGGTACGTCCAGCTGTGCATTTCTCATGCTCATGTCTCCAAATGCAGGGGAACAGCCATGGGACTCCATTGAGGAAGTAGCAACCTGTGTTAAAGCTTGAGAAAGAAGTGGCGATGCTGGACTTCCTGAGAAAAGGAAGGTAACTGAACTTTATAGGAGATTCAAGGGATTTTCAAGAGTGATTTTTACTGCACACATTATTTGTATTGACTTCAGAATGCTTTCTAAAAAGCCAGACTTAAAAGTCTCAGAGTCCTACCTTCTGAGCAGTCACTGGCTAGTCCTACTTCTCGCTTGCCCCCTGCAAACACTTGGATCTCTCAAGCTCTTGCCTACTTCTTGATATCTCAACCTTCTTTTGGGAGAGACTATCATATCAATAATTTGCAGGATAGCATAAGTATAATTTAATAAATGTTACTTCTCTTTGGGGTCTTTTTATTTTCAGCCTTATCTTTTAATACAGAAAGAAACAATTTACTAGTTGCTCCAGATATCTCAGGTCTATTTGCTTGGGGGAGGCGGGGAGGGAGTTATTTTCTTAGGCAAAGCCCTTGTTACCTCTAGATTAAAACCTGAACAAAGGAAATCCAAAAGCTATATTCTCATGTAAGCATAAACATTGTAGACCAGAGTTATCAATGTAATAAAACATATTGTAGCTTGTTGAATTTCTAGCAACAAGCTTGCTATATAACTTAGAGGAGCTTTTCTTTACTTACAAAGTTAGTGGTGTGTAGTGCCAACTTGCAGAAAAAGCATTGAAAAACCCTTTGGCTGTAAAATTCTTTGAAGATTGAGAAATTCACAAGAGAGAGCAAATATTGGCAAGACTATGGTGAGAAGGGAACCCTTGTCTGTTGGTGAGATTGGAAATTGGTACTTCCATTATGGATGCTAGTATATGGAAGTTCCACAAAAAATTAACATTAGAACTACCATATGATCCAGCAATCCCATTTCTGGGAATACATCCAAAGGAAGTAAAATCAGTATCTCAGAGAAATATCTGCACGCCATGTTCATTGCAGCATTATTCACAATAGCCAAGCTATGAAAACAACTTGAGTGCCTATCGATGGATAAATGTGGAATATTATTCAGCCTTTAAAAATAAGGAAATCTTGCCATTTGCAACAGCATGGATACACCTGGAGGGCATTATACTAAGTGAAATAAGCCAAACAGAGAAGAACAAATACTGTATGATTTCACTTACATGTGGAATCTGGGGGGAGGGGAACTCACAGAAATAGAGAGTACAATGATGGTTGTCAGGGGCTGGGGACTGGGGCAAATGAGGAGATAATGGTCAAAGGGCACAAGCTTTTAGTTATAAAATGAATAAGGCTCGAATGGATAGCCTGGTAACCACAGTTAATGACACTGTATTTTATACTTGAAATTTGCTAAGAGAGTAGATCTTAAGTGTTCTCACCAAAACAAACAAAAAGGTAATCCTATGAGATGATGTGTTCATTAACTTCACCATGGCAATCATTTCACATGTATCCTCAGTTTTCTTTCTTTTTATTGATTTTTAGAGAGAAAAGAAAGGAGAGGGAGAGAGGGAGAGAGAAACATTAATGTGAGAGTGAAACGTCAACTCCCTGCTGCCTGCAGGCCTCCTACCGGGGATTGAGCCAGGAATCTGGGCATGCGCCCTGACCAGAAATCCGACCTGTAACCTGGTCAGGGTCTCAGTTTTCTTATTTTAAAAGCATAATCCCTGCCTCCTATGATTAGTATTAAATATAGTAAAATATATGAAGCACTTATTCCATTATTTAGTGCATCGTAGTAACCATTCAAGAAAAATGAGTTCCCTTGTGCCTTCCCTCGCCTAACATCCTCACTTTCTAGCCCCTAAATTTCCACCTAGGGCACCTCGACTCTGTCACTCTCCAGGGCCAGCATAAATGTAACAGAGAGACACAGGGAAACAAGAAAAAATATGCCGCCCTCATGGAGAAATGCCACTTTTCTGTGAATTTTCGACTGATATTTATTTTTTCTCGAAAGTGACTATAAAATTGAAGCCAATAATAACTGGAAAATGCAATTTGTTAGAAAATTGGCATTTGGTAGGTCTGTGTACAAGGGATGAAATTACTAACAGAGTGTAATGTGCATGAGGGCCCTGTGTCTAGCTGACCAATACCACATATGGGGAGTGCTTGGGGGGAACTCGGCACGTTATAGGAAGTAATGATGAGAAGAGAGCCTTTGGAGGGAGGACCATCAGTGTACTTTGTTGGTCATCTCATCACCAAATCCTCATTGATTGAAAAGAAAAGGAAATAATTCAGTTTTCAACTATCCAAGTGTGAATGATGTAATATTTATATTAAAGGACACGTAAGTTTGCTATCTGAAGAATAGCAGGCAGGCTGAATTATGTGTTCTTTTGACTATGCCAATACTGGCGAATGAAACGTAAAATTCTGTATGTAAACTATGAGATAAAGCAAATTATCTTTCCAGCTACCTTGTGTACATACTGGTAATAAATCCCACATATATCCACAGGATGCATATGACTACACATCTCCTAGATGGAGTGTTATACAGACCTTGAAAATTATTTTATAAATGTATATTTAAATGTGGGAAATGCATATATGTCTCTTGAATAGCTCTAGATATGCAATTCAAGTATGTACAAGAAAAGCTTAGAAACAATTTTATTAAGGTGTCAAGAAATTTTATGGGTGATTTCATTTCTTCTGATTTTTTTTTATTCCTAAATTTTTTTCTAAACATATACTACACAACTTAAAGATTAGCTTTAAGACGTTACCAGACTGAAATGAAGCCAAATTTTGCACTCTGATATTTAGAATGAGGACTTCCATTGCAAAGAAAAATACCTGCATTCGGACCCTGTGTGGCGTTCATGGTTTTGTGTGTTGTTTGTTTGATAGTGGCAGTTCAGTGCTGGAATACTAGGTGAGCTTAACTCTGGCATGTCTGTGTCTGGGTTATTCTAAATTGTCCACGTCTAGCTCCTAAGACCTAATGCCTATTGGCTGTGGTTATGGAATAGCGTTTCTCAAGATGAAATTAACTGATCCACATGGAATGAAACATATCTGTGGCTTCATTAATCCCTTACACCAGCAGTTCTCAACCTGTGGGTCGCCAACCTGTGGGCCAATGTTTAGCTCCTAATACCTAATGCCTATTGGCTGTGGTTATGGAATAGCCTTTCTCAGGATGAAATTAACTGATCCACGTGGAATGAAACCCATATCTGTGGCCTCATTAATCCCTTACACAAACCTACTGGCCTCCTTAAATGGGACAGGAGAGATGCGGAGACTCGCCAGTTGAAGTTACAAGATCCTTTTGGATTCAGAGCTGCTATGAGGGACCTTAGAGGAACTTCCTGCTCTGTTCAAGTCTCTTCTCCTTCCAACTGACCACCAAAAATCAATCACGAAATCATTCATCCATTCAATCAATCAAAGATTCACTAGTCACGAACTGCTGTATCCCACATATATGTATGGTACATTGTTATGGACTGAATTATGTCCCCCTAAAAATCCATATGTTGAAGTCCTAACCCCTGATGTGATTGTATTTAGAAATAGGCCTATAACAGGAACGTACTGGCCTCCTGTAAATGGGACAGGAGAGATGTGGAGACCCGCCAGTTGAAGTTACAGGATCCTTTTGGATTCAGAGCTGCTCTGAGGGGCCTTAGAGAAACTTCCTGCTCTGTTCAAGTCTCTTCTCCTTCCAACTGACCACCAAAAATCAATCACGAAATCATTCATCCATTCAATCAATCAAAGATTCACTAGTCACGAACTGCTGTATCCCACATATATGTATGGTACATTGTTATGGACTGAATTATGTCCCCCTAAAAATCCATATGTTGAAGTCCTAACCCCTGATGTGATTGTATTTAGAAATAGGCCTATAAGGAGTTAATAAGGGTGTGGCCTTAACCAAGAGGACTAGTGTCCTTAAACAAAATAGGAAGAGATAACTGAGAGCACTCTCCCTCTGCACCCACACAGAAGAAAGGCCCTGAGAGGACAGAGCAAGAAGGCAGCTGGCTGGCTGTAAGCCAGGAAGAAAACCCTCACCAGAAACTAACCCCACCCCACCCTGATCTTGGAGTTCTAGCCTCCAGACATGTGAGGAACTAAATTTCTGTGGTTTAAGCCACCAGGTTTGTGGCATTTTGTTAAGGCAGCCTGAGCAGACTAATAAAAGCAAGGCTAGGGGTAGTGTGAGAACAGACGTGGCCCCTGCCTTGAGGAGATACAGTTCTTCCTTACTAATCCCCACGGCCTCTCCATTCCAGGTTCAGCCCCAGGTCTTAGGAGACTCATTCCCACAATATGAAGGAGAGTCAGAACCAGCCTCTGACAAATGACAAATGAAGGACATGAGCCAGGGTTAGGTGTTATCTGGAGAATTATTCCTCCTCATTGGGGCAACCTGATTATTATGAAGATCTTCCTCCAGAGGGAAAGCAATTCCATCACAAGAATGGAGAGCAGTGGATTCTGGGACAAGGACAAAGGGGCACCACAGTTATT